TTTTACCACTCAAAGGACCCAGGTACCCCTGAGCCACCGCCACCAACCACTCTTAAACCGGAGCCACCAACCACCCTCAAGCCGCCGCCACCAACGCAGCCACCACCAACTCTAACCACTCTTAACCCAGAGCCACCAACCACCCCTAAGCCTCCGCCACCAACTACACTTAACCCAGAGCCACCAACCGCCCCTAACTCTCCGCCACCAACCACTCTTAACCAGAGCCACCAACCACCCCTAAGCCTCCGCCACCAACTACACTTAACCCAGAGCCACCAACCGCCCCTAACTCTCCGCCACCAACCACTCTTAACCCAGAGCCACCAACCACCCCCTAAGCCTCCGCCACCAACCACACTTAACCCAGAGCCACCAACCGCCCCTAACTCTCCGCCACCAACCACTCTTAACCCAGAGCCACCAACCACCCCTAAGCCTCCGCCACCAACCACACTTAACCCTGAGCCACCAACCGCCCCTAACTCCCGCCACCAACCACTCTTAACCCAGAGCCACCAACCACCCCTAAGCCTCCGCCACCAACCACACTTAACCCAGAGCCACCAACCACCCCTAAGCCTCCGCCACCAACCACTCTTAACCCAGAGCCACCAACCGCCCCTAACTCTCCGCCACCAACCACTCTTAACCCAGAGCCACCAACCACCCCTAAACCAACCACCCCAGAGCCACCAACCACCCCTAAGCCTCCACCACCAACCACTCTTAACCCAGAGCCAGCCACCAACCACTCTTAACCCAGAGCCACCAACCACCCCTAAGCCGACGCCACCAACCACTCTTAAACCGGAGCCACAACCACAAACGACAATAGCAGATACAACTACTGCAGATGCAACAACTATTACAGACACAACATCGACTGCAGATAAAACAACGACTACAGATATAACTACTGCAGATACAACCACTGCAGATATAACTACTACAGATACAACGACCACAGGTACAACAACGGTAGAAATAACTACTGCAGATACAACTACTGCAGATAAAACCACTGTAGATATTACAATCACTGCAGATATTACAACCACTACAGATACGAATACTGCAGATACAACCACTGTAGATATTACAACCACTGCAGATATTAAAACCACTGCAGATACGAATACTGCAGATACAACTACTGCAGATACAACCAATACAGATATTACAACGACTGCAGATATTACAACCACTGCAGATACAACCACTGCAGATACAACTACTGCAGATACAACTACTGCAGATATAACCACTGTAGATATTACAACCACTGCAGATACCACTGCAGATACGAATACTGCAGATACAACCACTGCAGATATTACAACCACTGCAGATACAACCACTGCAGATACAACCACTGCAGATATTACAACCACTACAGATACAACAACGGCAGATGCAACTACTGCAGATACAACCACTGCAGATACAACCACTGCAGATACAACCACTGCAGATACAACCACTGCACAACCACTTCAGATACAACTACTGCAGATACAACCACTGCAGATATTACAACGACTGCAGATACAACCACTGCAGATATGCAGATACCACTGCAGATACAACCACTGCAGATACAACTACTGCAGATACAACCACTGAAGATACAACCACTGAAGATACAACTACTGCAGATACAACCACTGCAGATACAACCACTGCAGATACAACTACTGCAGATACAACCACTGCAGATACAACTACTGCAGATACAACCACTGCAGATACAACTACTGCAGATACAACCACTGCAGATACAACCACTGCAGATACAACCACTTACAACCACTGCAGATACAACTACTGCAGACACAACCACTGAAGATACAACCACTGCAGATACAACTACTGCAGATACAACCACTACAACCACTGCAACCACTGCAGATACAACTACTGCAGATACAACCACTGCAGATACAACCACTGCAGATACAACCACTGCAGATACAACCACTGCAGATACAACTACTGCAGATACAACTACTGCAGAGCAGATACAACTACTGCAGATACAACCACTGCAGATACAACACCAACCACTGCAGATACAACCTGCAGATACAACACTGCAGATACAACCACTGCAGATACAACTACTGCAGATACAACCACTGAAGATACAACGACTGCAGATACAACAACGACTGCAGATACCACTGCAGTGGTTGTATCTGCAGTGGTTGTATCTGCAGCAATACAACCACTGCAGATACAACCACTGCAGATACAACTACTGCAGATACAACCACTGCAGATACAACCACTGCAGATACAACCACTGCAGATACAACCACGCAGATACAACCACTGCAGATACTGCAGATACAACCACTGCAGATACAACCACTGCAGATACAACCACTGAAGATACAACCACTGCAGATACAACCACTGCAGATACAACCACTGAAGATACAACCACTGCAGATACAACACAACTGAAGATACAAACCACTGCAGATACAACCACTGAGATACAAAGATACAACCACTGCAACCACTGCAGATACAACCACTGCAGATACAACCACTGCAGCAGATACAACCACTGAAGATACAACCACTGCAGATTACAACCACTGAAGATACAACCACTGCAGATACAAACACTGCAGATACAACCACTACAACCACTGCAGATACAACCACTGAAGATACATACAACCACTGCAACTGCAGATACAACCACTGCAGATACAACCACTTACAACCACTGCATACAACACTGCAGATACAACCTGCAGATACAACCACTGCAGATACAACCACTGCAGATACAACCACTGAAGATACAACCACTGCAGATACAACCACTGCAGATACAACCACTGAAGATACAACCACTGCAGATACAACCACTGAAGATACAACCACTGCAGATACAACCACTGCAGATACCACTGAAGATACAACCACTGCAGATACAACCACTGCAGATACAACACTGCAGATACAACCACTGCAGATACAACCACTGAAGATACAACCACTGCAGCAGATACAACCACTGCAGATACAACCACTGCAGATACAACTGACTGCAGATACAACACTGCAGATACAACCACTGCAGATACAACCACTGCAGATACAAGCAGAGATACAACTACTGCAGATAAAACAACGACTCCTGATACAACAACTACGGCCATCACAACTACAACCATACCTACCACCACTATTGCCTTCAACGTAACTGCAAGGCTTCTAGAGCTCGCAACCATCGACCCTTCCCTGGGGGCTCTGGAAGCGGCCCTGGACGAGGCCAGCGACAGACTCGGCACCATCGACAGCACCGGCCGAAGGAGAGTTCGGAGGCAGGCTGGCGAGCCAGCAACCAGTACAACCGATGCTGATGCCACTACGATGCGATGCCACACAACTGATGCCACTACAACTGATGCCACTACAACTGATGCCACTACAACCGATGCCACTACAACTGATGCCACTACAACTGATGTCACTACAACCGATGCCACTACAACGATGCCACAACTGATGCCACTACAACCGATGCCATGATGCCACTACAACTGATGCCACTACAACCGATGCCACTACAACCGATGCCACAACAACCGATGCCACCACAACCGATGGATGCCACCAACCGATCACCGATGCCGATGCCACTACAACGATGCACGATGCCACCACAACCGATGCCACTACAACCGATGCCACCACAACCGATGCCACACAACCGATGCACCACAACGATGCAACCACAACCGATGTCACCACAACCGATGCGCCGATGCCACTACAACCGATGTCACCACAACCGATGCACCACAACTACCAACTGATGTCACCAGATGCCACCACAACTGCCACCACAACTGATGCCACTACAACTGATGTCACCACAACCGATGCCACTACAACTGATGTCACTACAACCGATGCCACCACAACCGATGCCACTACAACCGATGTCACCACAACCGATGACACTACAACCGATGCCACCACAACCGATGCCACTACAACTGATGCCACCACAACTGATGTCACTACAACCGATGCCACTACAACTGATGCCACCACAACTGATGACGATGCCACACAACTGATGTCACCACAACCGATGCCACTACAACGATGTCACTACAACCGATGCCACCACAACCGATGCCACTACAACGATGCACTGCACTACAACTGATGCCACACAACCGATGCACTACAACCGATGTCACTACAACCGATGCCACTACATGATGCCACCACAACCGATGCACTACAACCGATGCCGATGTACAAGACAACCGATGCGATGCCACTACAACGGATGTCACCACAACCGATGCCACTACAACTGATGCCACTACAACTGATGTCACCACAAGCGATGCCACTACAACGGATGTCACCACAAGCGATGCCACTACAACTGATTGCGCCACTACAGCGGATGTCACACAACTGATATCACTACAACCGGTGAAACTACAACGGATGTCACTTCAACCGATGCCACTACGGCTGATTCCACAGCAACGGGTTCCACGCCTGAAACAACCACAACCGACTCTGCCACAACTGGCTCCACAACCTCCGCCCCCAGCACGACACCGCCTCAGGACCGCATCGACGCCGAAGACTTGCTGACCAGGTACATCCAGTTCCTCAGCGACGCCACAGCCCCTGTCGACGACGAAAACGCTGACCAAATAGACAGCGGCACCGTCAGCGCCAACAGCTTCATCGAAGAGTTCGACGACCTGATCGACCTGATCGCGCAGACGGGGAAGAGGATCACGGACGGAACCAGGGCGCTGCTGCCACGAGCCCGAGACGACACGCAGGAGCTGCTGGACAGGATCAAAGACCTCCGCATAGCTATCCGAGAGGAACTTGAGCGGCTGAATCCACTCGCTGAAAACACAATCACCCTTCCCACACTGGCGCCTTAAAGGATAGAATGCAGTGACGACCCTCGGTACACATATATGCATATGGATGTATAATGCTTATATACATACTGTGTATTTGTGTATTTCAGACTGAAGTACTACGATATTTACGAATTTCAAACAAAATACTGTCGTTCATTTCAAACAATCTAATCACTGAGCTTTATGTTTTGTCAACACATTCTGATCCAAGTAGCTTGTCAAAACAAGAAAAAAAAAATAGCATCAAATTGAAGAACTCTTGTGTTTGCTGTGATTCAGACTTGCATGTAACATGTAATAAAGAGATGGAACTGCAATGTGATTTTTTTTTATTTCTTTTTAATGCCAGTCTAATAAAATGTTTATAATTAAAGTTTTAGTACTGGAACCTGGATAACTTTACATGGAATTTAGCCTCACTTAACCTTTCAAGGAGAGATACGTATATATATATATATATATATATATAATATATATATATATATATATATATATATACATATATATGTATATATATATGTACATATATATATGTACATATATGTATATATGTATATATATTACATATACATATATATGTATATATGTGTACATATAGATATATATATGTACATATATATATATATATGTATATATATGTACACATAAATATATATATATATATATATATATATATATATATATTATATGTACATATATATATATATATTTATATATATGGATATATACAGATATATGTATATATATGCATATTTTTGTATATATGTATATATATGTATATATACATATGTACATATGTATGTATATATACGTATATGTATATAAATGTATATATATATATATATATGTATATATGTATGTATATGCATGTTTATATACGTATATATATGTATGTATATACATAATATATATATGCATATATGTGCATATTATGTATATATATGTATATATATGTATATAATATATATGTATATATATGTATATATATACATATATATGTATATAATACATATATACATATGTATATATATACATATATACATATGTATATATATACATATATACATATGTATATATATACATATATACATATGTATATATGTATATATGTATATATATACATATATACATATGTATATATACATATATACATATGTATATATACATATATATATATGTATATATATGTATATGTATATATAGTATATGTATATGCATATACCCACCTCTGCACACGATATACATATGTAGGCTTATAATCCCTGCATGGAAAACTGTCGAGTATATTCTCAAAATACTTAGGACTCTCTCGACCTGTCTTACATCTGACTCATAGCTGAGACAAATTTCGGCAGTTGAGAATATTTTGAGACAGTCTCAAAGTCATTTCAGCCGTATTAGATGAACTGATTTATACAAATAACCAACACATTTTTGACAGATAACTCTGTTGCCTAAGCTGGTTAATGTTATATAGTTGTAATAGGGCAGGTATACATACCAATTGTTTTCGAATAACAGAAGATTCCTCTAAAACTTTGTTTAAACACAGATGTTCGTCTTTACTTTGACCTCGTGAATTTCTTTGAACACCAATTGAAACTGATAGATTTATAATATAAAAATAATGCTGATCCCAATATACTCATCACATCAAAAAGCCATTCACATCATCAGAAAATCATACTAAGGGCATAATTCCACTGCCAATTCGATGTAGAATTGTAGACATTTCCGACTGGTACACCACGAGTCTGGTGGTGACCATTATAATCTGCCTATACATGTGTGGTACGTAGTATTCAATGAGAGTGAGATGTCAGTCTGTAATGATGACTCTGACTGGTTGAAATAATTTTACAATGATCTACAACAGGAAGGACATCCGAATGGGGAAACTATATCAGATTGTCATAACAATTCAAATTACAAAACGTACGAACAAAGACTGACTTTTATCTACAACTGATGTTTATGAAAAAAACAATATTTCATAGATTTGACTCCTTACCTGAGCAATGCTTTCCATCTACAGTGTAATGAATGAAACTATATGTTTTTACTTTCAGTAAGTAGAATGATTCATGAAGTGTAGATAATCACATGTTTAGAAAAAAGGCAACAATAGAACTTATTGAAGGCACAGACAGATTTTTTAATTAATGAGAAAAAATAGTCTAAATGTTCCATTTCTCCTACCTGGAAGCTTATTGTCACACACACTCTCTCAAACGCACACACACACAATCATACATACATACATACACACACACACACACACACACACACACACACACACACACACACACACACACACACACACACACACACACACACACACACATATAATATATAATATATATATATATATATATATATATATATATATATGTATATATATATATATATATATATATATATATATATATATATATATATATATATATATATATATATATATATATATATATATATATACATGTGAGCTGTGCCTCTCATGCGATTATTTTTTTTTGCAATTATTTATTTTCGTGTTTAATATGCTATTGTTGCAATGGTATCAGGTGTT